TTACATATGAATTAAAGTGAGTCACAGCTGAGATGTGGAGGGGCTTAGAGACTGGTCACTTCTAACCCCTGAGGACCTGCAGCTGGGGCAGGTGGACCCAAGGAGGTTCGTAGTGACTGGACCGAGTCTGCACAGTTAGGGGCCCCTCCAAGTTCAGCAATGCACCTGTCTATACTCGCTGCCAGTCTTCTGGGCGCCCACTCAGGGACCCGCTCATTCTTCCCTGTAGATGCTAGCAGGCAGCTCTGCACTGGAGAAGCCCCACTCTAGACTTTCCCTTCATGTGGATGGATATTGGTTTGTTTTTCTAAAAGAAAATGTTAACATTGCATATTCAGGTTTTGTCAGTATATAAGCATGTTGAAATACTCTCTTTAATGAGTTGTGAGTAGAAAACATTTTTATGCTGAGAGGAAGTGGCATGGAGATGTTTCACATGCCCTGCCTGCAGACATGCATGGCCTGCATCTTCTAAGCCCGGGCAGAAGGGGCAGGGGAGGCCTGCATCCGTGCATTTCTGAGGTCTGTCTGTATGCGTGCATGTGGCATTTTGTCTTACCGAAGATGGTAGGTGCACACTGGGTTTCACCGGACGCCTCATTTCTCAGCATGTGGGTTGGTGCGTGTTTGCATTTGTATGTTGGTGAGCAGAGGTCCGATGGCGAGTGCGTGTGCACCTGCCTCTTGTGACCGTGGGGGTGAAGGTGTGACTCGTTGTTGTGTATCTGCTTTAGAAAAGCATAAGAGTACATTAAAAATGATTTAAGCTTGTATTTAGAAAGAGGACTTTTAATTAACAGCATTTATTATTAGAATTCACATCTGAAGTGTTGAAAAGGCCAAGTAATTGGATCTTTCTGTCACACAGAGTGAAGTCTCTCCAGCTGGGCGTGGCGAGCTTATGGAGTGACTGAAGGAGATGTGCTGAGCGCGCCCATGCTCTCCGGGTCACTCAGCCCTGCCTGCACCCAGGGAACCTCTGCCCAGGGTCCGAGCAAACATAGACACTAAACAAATCTAAAGGTAAGGTAAAAACCTGCAAAAACCTGCTAACACTTGACTGATTAAAAATACCTTTTGGTTGATGTAAACTGATTAATTAAGGCTGTTTGCCTTTTCAAGTGTGTTTTATTAGTAAGTTCCAGCACAGACTGTTTGTTACTGTTAATTCTCTCAGTCTCATGGGGCCCAGACTGCGCGCAGGCCCCACCGCCGCGGCTCCAGGTTGGTGTGGTGCTGCCCCCCAGTGGCCGTGTGGCCCAGAGCCGCCCGGCTTCCTGTCTCCTCCACGCGCCGGGCGTGGAGCTGGACTTGCTGTAAAGCTTTCTACTGTACGTTAGTTCTTTTGAGGTGATTAAAAGAAAATTTACTTAGTATTTAACCGGTGACTATTACATGATTCAGCATCTGCTTTTGAGAGAAGTCGAGGCAAACTGAAGTCCCGGTAAAGTTCGTACTGTGTAAGGTTAATTTATGGCCTGTGGAGTGACTAATTCAAGGAAGTCCTGTTGTGGGGAAGAAGTGTGAGGACGGTCGTCAGAGGGCTGCTTGATGCACCTGCGCCCGTTCACCCATTCTGCAGAGGCTGACAAGTGCCCGGGGTCTTGGGCAACCACAGAAGGAGCAGGGGCGGAGCTCACGGTGGGGAGAGGGGTGCCCACCATCTCCGGGGAGTGTAGGCGCGCCCACATCTGCCCGCCGTTTCCCAGTCTGTACGTGTCAGGAACCTAAGGACATCAGCTCCCAGGGAGACCCTTAAAGGAGGGTTTGCTCGATCTTTAACCGATGCCCTCCCCCCGCCCCCCCGCTTCTAGTGCAGGAGCCCTGAGAGTATGGAAAGGGTGAAATGAAGGTCACCTAGCTTTGCCGTGCCGGTGGGGTGGGGTTTCCTTCAGCCCCGGCTCTTCTGTTAGCTGGATTAGTGGTATGAAACCAGTGTCTCTGTAACTCGAGTGTATTCAAAGGTAGTGAGTGGCGCAGAGCCGGCCGAGTGTGCAAGAAGCACTGTCCGTTCGCGTCACTGGTGCCATGCGGTCTGTGACTACCTGCATCTCGTGCCGTGGCCGTGAGCCCCTGTGTTCGCTTGCCTTGTATGTGAAATGGCAAGTATTTTTATCCCACGCAAGCGTGCACTGGGGAAGTGAATTCTTTATAATCCTTTGTAGAAATAAATTCTCCTTAAAGGCATACAAACAATAATGAGGTCCGAAGCACATGCCTGGAGAGCAGAATTAAAGGCCTAGCCATTACCGACAGACGCAGCAACAGCGAGAACGACCTCTCCTTCCGCGGGTTCTCCCGCAGTAGATGTTCTAGCTGCAGAGTAGAAACTTTGTATTTCTTTCATAAAATGAAAGCTAATTTTGGCAACAAATAGTCTGATGTGTGATAACTTTCCTTTTTCAGGGTGGGTTGGAAAAGAAAAGCACGAAAGCTAAAGCTTTTGGCTGAGACGAGTCTTTGCTGGGGAGCACGCCCCCCTCCCCCGCCCCGACACCGCGCTCTGCCCTGTTGGTTCTCTAGAGTCCCTCTGGGCCCTGGCGGCAGCCCTGCAGCATCCTGCTTCACGTTTAGTTCACACATGCTCACTGCTGTTGCCTTCCTTAAAGAGATGAAGTTGTTTCTGGTGTCTTTAGATTTTATTCATTTATTTATTTGACACAGAGAGAGAGAGGGAGAGAGAGAGAGAGAGAGAGAGACAGAGCACAAGCAGGGTGATCGGCAGGGAGAGGGAGAAGCAGGCCTCCCGCAGAGCAGGGAGCCCGATGCGGGGCTCGATCCCAGGACCCCGGGGTCATGACCTGAGCTGAAGGCAGACGCTTAACGACTGAGCCACCCAGGCGTCCTGTATCTTGTGTCTTAACACGTGAGAATGTCTGCTGTGGTTGGGCAGCTGGGGGTTGCTCCTGAGTGGTCCTCTCCACAACATGCAGTTGGCCTTGTCCAGGCTGTGGGAGTGTCTCTTCTGCTCCGTATCACTGATTTCTTCTGTCCTTTAAGGGCTTACCTGATTAGGACGGTTCCACCTGGGACTCAAAGTCAGCTGATTGGGGACCTTATTTTGTCTTGGAAAATCCTTTCACCTTTGCTTTATGTTGCATTGTATTCATCAGATTCATAGCTCCACCCTCTGTCAAGGGGGGGATTATACGGGGTGTAGACACCAGAGGGTGGGGTGCCAGTTCCACACAGACTGGGAAAAGAATTTGCTACACGGGTACCTGATGGGGCGGGTACCTGACCAAGTAGCGTCCCTGACGGGGGCGCGTCCCTGACGGAGTAGTGTCCCTGACCGGGGCCGGTCCCTGACAGGGACGCTTAGTTGACAGAGGCCTGGCTTTGTTTCCAGAGTCTATAATACATGAAGATTCCCACAAGTCAATAAGGACAAGACAGTGCAGTGGAATTAGGTGCAAAACACTCGTACAGTTTTTTCACAGAAGATGCAATCTGCGTGGCTAATAAACGTGTCAAATGTGCTCATTCATTTGGCAAGCGTGGGCAGCCTCCCAGAGGCCAGAGCCCATCAGCCTATGATGGACACGTGAAGGTGAGGATTAAGTTGGCATCTTTGTCCTCAAGGCCCGCCTGGTGCCTGTGGGCAGCATGCCAGAGAGCTGAGCCCAGGCCTGTAGGTGGCAGCTTGTGTACCCCGAAAGGCTGGGCAGAGGCCTCCCCTGCAGGTGGCCAGGTGGAGTCTGAGTCTGAGTCTGAAGCAAAGAATGGCTTTTGCCTCTTTCAGGAATTGGAAACCAAGCAAGCAGAAACAGAATATGCAACAGCGACTGTATGTGGGCACAGAGACTGAAATATCTGCCATCTGGCTCTTCACAGAAAGGTTTGCAGACTTGCTGGAAGGGGTGAGCTTGCTGCATGGGGGCCCTGCCCGGGCTTCCTTGTCTGGGCTCCACTTCTGCCGGCACTCATCGGCCCCAGGAAGACTGCACCGTGGCCGTGTCTTCAGACACGGTGCCTCGGCCAGGATGTGTGTGAGCCAGAGAGCGGGGCCACCTGTCCTCAGTGCCTCGCCATGCCCCGGCTCCAACGCTTAGCTCACAGAGACGCTCCTGACGGTGTGCCTGGGTCCTGGGACCCTTGCGCCATAAAAAGGCAAAGAAGTGCAGGTGACCTACAGGAAGCAGTGACTTAGGGGAAAAGACCAAATGGGACCAACTAGGAAAAGTGGCTCCGAGGAGGCAAAATGCTGGGACGCAGAAGCTAGCGAAACCCGACTCACAGTGGGGCCGTAGGGCAGTGGCTGAGACCAGAAGGGCTGTTTTGTTAGGTTGGAAGAGGCATGGCGCGCTGAGCATGACGTGAGTCTGCTCGATCGACGAAGACACCGGTGATGGTGCAGGTGACAGCGGGGGCAGGATTTGGGGGCCTTGGGTGACGCCCCCACTCCACTGCCATCCCCTCACATTCCGCAGGGGTCCTGGGAGCAGCGTGCTCCCCTCCAAGATGCCTCGACGTTCAAGACCAGCAGCCGTAGTGGACTAGGTGGGGGCAGGATGGGGTTGGGGGACATCTGCCCACACACAGCAGGCCATGCATGACAGTCTTGCCACTGTCCATCCCGCAGCTGCCCCTGATACGGGCTGGTGCCCAGGAGGGCAGTAAGACCGGCCCGTCCCAGCAGCTGGTGGACGGGGTGGGCGAGGCAGAACCGCCAGGAGGCACAGGGCCCACGGGACTCTCGGGGGCTCTGCAGTGCCTCCTGCTGGTCCCTGCCCTGGCGCCTGCTCCCACGTGTGAGCAGGTTCTCCAGGCTCCGGGTGTTCTGCATAAGGCGGGCACCTCTCTCTCCTCAGCCCAAGCTGCAGCACAGAGAATCCCAGTCAAAGCTACAGGCAACCCAGTCTCAGGGGAAGGGATGTAGGAAGGTGCGACTAGATGGGGTCAGTGTTTGCAGCAACGAGTCCCAGAGCTCTGGGGTCTGTTGGTCTAGGAGTTGTAGTTTATGGAACCCACAGCAGTGTTAGAGACCGATCTGCATCGCACCCTGGACTCACTTCGTTTAGCCAACAAACGTGCAGGCAGATGCTGACCGAGGCCCTCGGGATGATGGTGGGACAGGATAGATGGCCCCCGTGGAGATGACACCTGGTGGGAGCAGACGGTGTTGGGGAGGGACACCCGAGAGAGGGGTGACAGCCCCCCAGGGGGGTGGCATCTGAGTGCGGAGCCAGCGGGGGGCCAGTGCACCACAGTGAGGCGCGGCCCTCCCCTGGCTTCTTTTCTCCAGACCCCTTGGGCAGCAGCAGGCCGGCAGGCGCAGACGAGGCAGCCACCCTCTGGGGCTGCAGGAGCTGCTCGATGGGGTGGAGCAGGGAGTCGTGATTCTGGACTGTTTTCCATCCGAAAAATGGAAAAATCTGAGTAAAACTTGGTTTAAACAGTATCAAGTTCGAAAAATTTCTAAAAAGTGCTTGTATTCCCAGTTTTTATGTGCTGTGGATTTAAGTTTCCAAATGGACCAAAAAAATACATCATTAACTGCAAAAGTATGGCTCGAAAAGATGGAAGTTCAATTGCCTGCACATTATTGGGTGGAAAACCATAGACCCCTGTAGTGGTTCAAAGTTAGTTGGCAATTTTCTTCTCACTGTTGTGTGCTCTGGGCGTGACTGATAGGAAATTGTGGATCCAGGTACTTAACAGTGATACATATGTAAAAGAGCCTGGCGGAGATTCATTTGTAGATGCAGGAAGGTCTGGTACTCTCCCGTGATTTCCTTCTGTTTTCTGCGAAGGCTTTCCCAGTGCGGGCCTTGTAGAAGAACCAGCACCCTGTGGGCGGCTGCCGCTCTGTGGAGGGAAGGCGAGTTGATGGGCTCTGGGCCCCGTGCCAGCCCCGCTTCCATGTGGAGGTTCTGGTAGGTGCCGGGCGCCCCCAGTGCAGCCCTGCGCAGAAACCCGGGCTCCGCAGGCCTCCCTCCTGGTTCTGGGATCTGGGGGCTGGAGCTCGGGTGTGCCCTGGCAGGGGAGGACGGAGGGCGGCTTCCCTTCTGGGCGCCTCAGGAGGGGGGCAGGGGTCTCGCGCTCACTGCAGAGCTGCTTCGGAGGGCCTGGGATGGGGGATGGAACCGACTCTGGAAAGGTACAGTGTTGTTTCCCTAGGGCAGTGGGCACGGGGTGGGGCGCTGCTGAGCAGGGGTGCGGTGGGGGCGACTCCAGCAGCCCCGTGGTGTGGGTGTGCTGAGGGTCTGTGACTGCGTGGGGGGTGTGTGTGGGGGGAGTAGAGGGGTGGGAGAGGGTAGGAGTGTGGAGGGGCAGGGCCGGGCCTGGGTGGATGCCTGTCCAGCAGGGGCGAGGCAAGACCTGTGTTTTATTTCAGTTTTTATCCAAGTGGTGCCTTCATAGGCAGGTCACCTAATTTAGGCTTTTGCTGAAAATCAGTCATCTGTGGCCTTCACCTTTCTCTGAGGCAGTGCTGATGTTTTTAAAAAGTTGTGTATATTTGTATTTCTGGGTTGGCCGGTGTTAGGACCTGCTCCCTGTGACAGAGACGCAGCGCAAGGGACTCCCCAGGCAGGGCTGGAATGAGGTCCTAGCTGTCTAGGCCCAACTCTGCTCTGTGCGTGGCCTGTCACACGTGAGTTCACCCGCTGGGGGGGCCTGGGACAGAGACGCTGCGACAAAGGGTGTGTGTATGCCGTTTCTCGAGGAGGTTCCCAGAAGCTTCCACGTGACACTTCTGTGTTCATCCCGGTGGACACAACCAGTCGGGGGGGCTGGGAATGTCTTTCTTGGTGGCTGGCCACGTGGGTGCTCTGCCTCATGGAGGACGGGAGGAGTGGGTGTTGGGGTGAAGATGGCAGTCCCTGCCGTACTTTAGTTTCTAAGTAATAACTACGCTGGTTTGTGATTTATATATTTTAGACGTTATCTGTTATGTTCAGTTCAGATAGCAGCAGCTTGAGTTCACTTCACACTTTTTTGGCCTTTCCTTCTTGTGTTGTTTAGGAGTGCTTTTGGCTGAAAGTCCCAGAACACGTGACCTACAGTGTCTTCAACTAGTGGGGATTTATTCATTTATTTCATAGTAAGGAATGCAAAGGTAGGTTTTTGCTAGAGTTGGTTGAGAGCACAACCATGTCAGAGGTCTGGGTCCGTGTCTCAGCGGTTCTCCTAACCTTTCCCTCATGGTTGTGGTGTGGTTGCTGCAGTTCCAGCCATCGCATCTGTATTCAAGCAGGAATAACTGGAAAGGGTCGGGCATGTCTGTCCTGTTCATCAGGGCATTCCAGAAGCCTCCATCATACTTTCATTTGTATCTCATTGTCTAGGACTGTCACGTGGCCAGCTGTCGTCACAAGGGACACTTGAGAACACGAGGGTCTGACTCGTGTCGCACCCCGGTAAAGGCGAGGAGCACGAGGCCAGGCAGCCGAGCTCTTCTGCTGGTTACCTTACTCTTTCCCCTGGAGCTCGGGCGGTCTCCCGGCGGCCCGCCGTGTCAGGCCGCGTGCAGACAACTGCCCTGCTCGTCACCTCCTTCTCACTCTGCTGCTCAGCTTCTGGCAGGTCTGGTTGTCTCCCTCTTTCCTTCTTGCACATAATCAATGCAGGAGACTTCATTTTCTGTTCTGTAACCATGGGTCAGTGGTGTTTCTATCATTACAGTGAGTGAATGTTCGTTGCAGAGCCAAGTAAAACGTGTATGACCATACTTCCTTCTCGCCGTCCCCCGTGCCCTCCCTGCACACAGGAAAACGTTAGAATGACTCCTCTCTTAGCTCGCTCCACGCATGGTGGGACGCTGAGCCACACTTACTTTATAGTGGGATTGTGCCTTTTCTGTCCCGTGTTTCCTTCTCCCGATGCTCACGTTGGCTGGGCCGGTGGAGCAGAGCGGGGAGGGGCGTGGCCCTCCCCGGCACCGCGCTCGGCCTCCCCGCCCAGTCTCCGTTCTGTGCAGCGGGGGTGGCCACAGTGGCCGCGGGCGCCGACAGGCTAATCTGGGCGTGGCTGCCGGCCGTGGAGCTTCGTGTTGTTTCCGTGTTGGGAGAGGAACGACGTGCTCGCTTTACTCTCAGTCTTGTCCGGCTCGTTCATTCTGTTTGTTGGAATACATTCATTCCTTCTTCCTGAAATCTGTGTATTTTTTCTTTTATCTTAATAGAGACCGTGATTTTTGTGTTCTTAAGCTGGATTTATTGAGGGATGATTTACATACAAAAAACCCCACCTCTTTTAAGTGTTCAGTTTGGTATGTTCTGACAAGTGTGTATAGTGAGTACACCCCCCACTGCAGTCAAGACGTGGAGCCCCCTGTTCCTCCCTCCTGCCCACCCGGGGGTCTTGTTCCTTCATGGCCCCAGCGCGGCTGGTCTGATGGTGGCATCCCGGGACACTGTTTCCGTGTGACAGGATGCAGAGCGCGCTCCGCGTCCCACGGTCTCCGGGGCCCCTTGCACGGGCAACTCAACACCAGGTGGTGCTGTGGGATCGCTCCAGGACCCCGAGCCGCCGAGCCTCCGCTACTGAGAGAAAACTTCATTTTCTTGTCAGGAATCCAGTTTCCCATGCATTTCCTCTGTGAACCCAGACGCCGGTTTCCTTCAGAGAAGTGTCTGTTTACTGGCTTTGTTTGAACCATTTTAAAGAACCCATGAGGTAGGGGTATGGAACATTTATAACTGATTTGGTTCAGTGAGTGATATGATTTGTAAATTAAATTTTATCAATTTATAAATTTAACAATAATTAATTGAGTCTGTGGAGGGGCCTTCACTGTGTTGTGGAATTGGAAGATACAATTTCATACATCTGTTCCAGTGTTTTAAAAATTATTACTTGGCCTATAGCATTTATTGTAACATAATTTTATGATTC